TAATTTATAAATTATCAAGTGTTCATGAGGGAGGGGGGAACAGGGAGGGAAGGGGGAAAATGAGGAGCTGATGCCAGGGCCTTAAGTGGAGAGCAAATGTTTTGAGAATGATGAGGGCAATGAATGTACAAATGTGCTTTACACAATGGATGTATGTGTGGATTGTGATAAGAGTTGTATGAGCCCCCAATAAAATGATTTTTTAAAAATCAGAAACCATGAGAGAAAAGATTGATAAAGTCACCTAAAAATAGTTTTATTCTACAAAAAACCCCATCATTTTCAAAATGAGAAAAGAAAGGAAAACTGGCCACTCAGCATGCAAGTCACTCTTTCTAATATAGAAACTGGAAGCCAGTTAGACACGAACGAAGAGGAAGAGGAAGAGCACGCGGCTCAACAATTCGCGAGGAAGGCTCTATCGACAGCCCCCAGACGCAGGAAGAATTGCTCAAATCACTCTTAGTTACATCAGCGCAAGCGATGCTCCTCTCATCGGATGGGCAGAAATCCTACTCGGCTGCAGGAACAGCCTGGTGGGCAGGAAGTGGTTCTGATGGGGGATAATTTGACAACATCTATTAAAATAGGTGCTTGTGCTCTCACCCAGAGACCTCAAACGTATTTCTCTCACACACACCAAAAAACCCCAAACGCTTGTAAGAATACAGAATGACAGCTGTGCCCCAAACAACATATTTGTATCTGCCTCTCTGTTTAAGAAACCCAGATCGGATACTCCAGAAACCAATGGTAATGGGTACCTGTGCGGTGTGTGTGTGTGTGTGTGTGTGTGTGTGTGTGTCCGTGCGTATTGGGTGACGAGACGTGATCCGTCAGATGTTTGGGAGGGAGACTCAGGGGTGCCCTTTCTTGCATGGCTTTGATTTCTGAACCAGGTAGATGTGTTGACAATTTTATCTTTCACTGAAACACTCCTCCCTCTCTCTGCTGCGCATGCCAACAATGCTATTTCATAATTACAAAAGGTGGCAGGCAGGACATGTGGCAAAGGATCCGTGACGGGAGGGTAACCCTTGTCACCTGCAAGAGCCACAACACCAAACTCAAGCATATGACCGTTTTGGAGGTGGCACTGGCCACCACTTGGTTCTGTGATCCAAATAGATAGTTACTTCCATACATTCACCTTGTATCAACCTGTCCAGTTGTGTGTCCACACACTAACCTGGGGCCACCTACATTACCACTGCTTCTCACACCCCTCGGGTTGGGGCTGCTAGAACGGCCCCCTGAGGCACAGACGGACGCTAAGGACAGTCTTCGGTTACATGACGGGAGATGCAGGCGACACAAGTTTCCTCCTTCCCCACGAGGGAGGATGTTGAGACTCAAACACCGTTCAGCCTGGCTCCCAAGAGAGAAATCACAGGGACGGTGTCGGGGCAGTTTTACCCCGTCCTGTAGGATCTCTCCCGGCGTGGGCATCGACTGGGTGGGCGTGGACTCGGTTGGGAGTTTACCTTAGGGACAGTCCTCCGTACAGCAGCGAGATCCAGAGCCAGCCCACCAACAGGAAGAGCAGCATGAGCGGGAAGGCAAAGAGGAACCAGGAGCCAAAATTCACCAAGTCGCACTGTGGGAAGAAACTGGAGAACAGGGCGAGGTGGGGGACCCTGCTGGGACAGTGGTTGCACACTGGGCTGCTAACCTCCAGGTCAGCCGTTCGAAACCACCGGCCTCTCTGTAGGAGAAAGCTGGGGCTTTCTGCTCCTCCAAAGAGCCACAGGGGGCAGTTCTACCCTGACCGGTGGGCTCACTAGGTCAGAATCCACCCCATGACAGTGAGCTCATAGCTTTGAACAGGCCGGTGCCACTCGGCTCCCCCTACTGTCGGAATGCGGGGTGCAGGCCCAGAGCTCAGAGCCCGATTGTCTTTGAAATCATGTGATGTTCAAATGCTGGCAATTCATTAAAGACTTCTTTAAAGACTGCGGGAGTCGGCCAACCTCTGTGGACTGCGACCTCTGCCCTAAGTCCTCACGGACCCTGTGTGACCTGCCCGAACAATGTTGATGTCCATGCGGGGGTTTTTTCCGGTGCTTAGCGGCCCAACCTCAGCTTGGTGAAGACTTCTCCCAGCCAGAAAGGGTTCGGGAAAATGATGTCCAGTGGTGGTGAGGGCTTGGGCTCACGGGAACTCACGGAGGTGAGCCCCTACTGCTTGTCTGTGAGCACTACCTGGGAGTTTAGTAAATGCTTTAAAAGCCTTCAATATGTGCATGTCTTTTTACCCAAAGCGCCTACTGGACCCACCCACTGTGGTTTATAAGTGGATTTAACGTATAGTGGCCCTATAGGACAGGGTAGACCTGCCCCCTATGAGTTTCTAAGACTGCCACGTCTTTCTCCTGCCGACAGCGAGTGGCACTGTTTGAACCTGCTGCTGGCCTCATTAATGGCTTAGTACTCGGGATCCTACATGGCCCATGACTGACAGTGCAGAAACGAGGGCAAAAGGCAGAAATGAGGGCAAGGACGCAGATGCTAGGCAGAGAAAACAGAAAAGCGATGATGACTTGTGTTCCATGTTCCTTCATCAAAAGCATGTACTATAGGGTCACACGCCCACAGGCAGACTGCACGCACCCCACAGGCACCCCAGCCCCAATACTGACATATTCATTCTTCAGCTCTCTGTCACGGAACCCAGAGACACCCCCCCCCCCTTTATCTATACATTCTACAATTTCCTCCAGGGGCACCAACTTTCAGAATGAGACAAAAGCAAAAACCAATGAAAAACATGTTAAAATACCAGTAAGTGGATCACATTTTTCATGAACACAAAAGAAGAAGAGACGAAGGCGATCAAACTGTCTATTACTAACGTCTGATGCCCCAAATGGGGTCATGGATAGCCATTACCAAGTGTGTTTCCTAAGGAGCACACGAATGACCCAATATGTAAACCGAATGCTGACACTCATGTGGAATAGGGACGGATATCTAGTAGTTGTCCACAGATGAGACTGGAAGACAATCTTCCAAAGTCCTACAAGAGAAATCCAAAGGTATTTCCCGTGTGGCCCGTTTCCTGGGTGTTGCCCTGTGCCCATGTTGCCGATAATCTGAATAAAGCAGGAAAGTGCCTCTGGCAGGCTCCTCTGCTGAGCACCCACAAACCCTGCTTCACTTGACTTCCCTTTTCAATCCTCTCCTTCCAGACTAGAGGGCCCAAGATGATGAGGTTGCAGGCTTGCCTGTCATTTGCATCTGACTTACTCCGCATCCTACAAGATGGGTCATTACAGCTCCGGCCTTTTCTCCTTTGTTCCTTCTCAGGTTGGAACAAAGGCCTGCTCACATGTGTGTGTGAGTGTGTGTGTGTGCGTGTGTGTGTGTGCATGTAGCCTGAAATCCCTCTGGCAGCAGCCCCCACCCCACTCCCACATCCCCAACTCAGGACCTCCCTGCTTTCTGTCCAGGTCCCCAGAACTCCAGCCGCCCTGACATCTAACTCCCAGCTTCCCCCCAGAGACCAGCAGCACAGCCAGTGTTCCCTCCACTGTCCTACTAGGTTTCTGAGCCTGTAGATGGGCCTCAGGTGAAGCAGTTGGCCAACATGCTGAACCTCAGAATAAGGAAGGCAACAGTAAGCCTCCCACGCTTCGTGCTCAGAGAGGAGCTTCCTGCAACCAGCCATCCCCTCCGCATGTCTTGGGTAAGGCTCACAGCTGTTGCCCCGTGCTTGCCTCTGACAAGGTCAGACACTGGCCCAAGTCAAACCCACTGCCATTGGGTCCGTTCTGACTCCTAGGGGCCCCTCAATCAGGGGCTGTAAATCTTTTCTGAGGCTGTAAATCTTTACCGGAGCAGCCAACCTCATCTTTCTCCCTAGGAGAAGCTGGTGGGTTTGAACACACACAACATCCCTATCACAGCATCCTTTCTTTCTGAAGTCAGCTTCTTCTGTCTGTACTTGGATTTGGTTTTGTTTTGACCATTGATCGCCCAAAGGGTCCCATTTGCATTCACGCCAATAAATGAACGTCTGGCTGCATGGCCACTGCACAGGCATCTGAGAGACCCAGCCGCTCAGAAAGCTGGGTCTTAAAGTCTTAGAAACAGAATCTCCACATGCTGGGAGGTTTCCCATCTGAGAGCAAGCCATGCAGTTTGAGAGCCTCACTCTCCGCCTCCTTCCTAGGCCCTGGCCATCGCTGCCTGAAGCACTCAGCAGTGGGGAGTCTGCCTCCTTGCAGCGCCATTCCAGCCCTGGATGGTGCTCAGGGTCCATCAGAGAGCTTCGCGCACAGGACCGCCCAGGCGCAGACCACCGCCAGCAGCCACACCATGCCCTTCCTCTGTTCCCAACTCCTCAGTGATTTCTATCTTGCTTAGGGAAATAACTGGGAGTCCTTAAGGTGTCCTTAGTCCTTACGTCCTCCCATCCAGTCCCCTCTGTCTTCAGGGCTCAGCCAGCCTGCTCAGCATGTCCTCCTCCAACCTCCTAGGGCTGTTCCCACCACGGCCTTTGTCCCGTGAGTCCCTGGGTCACAAACATCCGACTTATACGTCATATGTGTTTGTCCTTTAATGTTATGTCCGTCTGCCCTTACTTTGAAATGACTGAGCCAATCCCCGCCAACACCACAGCTCGGCCACAGAGTCCAGTCAACTCACAGGAGGTCTGGGGGGTGCAGGAGAGCCGCTCGTTAGGGTTTCTGGGGGCGGGCAGCTTCTCAGGGGCAGATTGCTCTTCAGAAGCTGCTCCGGTGGGTTTGTTTCAAACTGCTCCCCTCGCAGTGGGCAGCGCAAAGCATCACCCACTGGGCCGCCAGGGCCCCTTTCTGGCCCTAATGCAAGGCTCCAGGAGGACACGGCGCACTTGTTCCGACTTTCCTACAACCTAGAGCCCCAGGCACAGATCTGGTTTGTAACCCGGGGACTGCCCCTACGGGCTATTCCCTCTGGAATATTGCCCTGCCTGCGTCCACAGGACCCACGTCTTCCCTGCTCTGTGTCGGCTCAGATGCCATCGGATGCGAGAGGACTTGCTGGTGGCCTGTACAAAATAGCACCAGGCACCCGTCTCTTCGCTCCTGTCCTCATAACTCCCCACGTCCCCAGCACTGGGAGGGGGACACGGCTCTCACCTCTTGAGCTGGCCGAGCAGGATGAGGTTGGGGAGCGTGCCCGTGAGGGTGGCGGTGCCGCCGATGCTGGCCGAGTAGGGGATGGAGATGAGGAAGCCCTTCCAGATGTTTCTGCGGTGATTCTCCTCCGTCTTGGACTCCGTCTGCAGGTCCAGAGGCGCCTCCACCTCCTCAGGGTCTTCTTTGCTGGACACAGACCCAGACAGCAGCCGTTCAGCACAGAGCTGGGGTTTCTGGCCTCGTGGGGAGACTGGGAAGCCAGAGGGGAGGGGGGCAGGCGAGACAGTCTTCTGCGAAGGCAGCTTGACAGAGGCATTTACACCCTTGAAACCTGGGCACCCCCTTCAGCCCATCAAGTCTAGTCTAAGAAGTCATCTTAAAGAAAGCTTTCGACAAAGGCTTTAGGTGCGGTGCAAGGGAGCTCACCGAGGCATTCAATGGGAAATGACCAACAACCTAAATAAACATCCCTCAAAAAGTTTAAAGAAAACTCAGACTCAGTGGCATCGAGTTCTTGCCGACTCACAGCGACCCTATAGGGAGGGTATAGTAGAACTTCCCCTATAGGGTGTCTGAGGCTGTCACTCTTTACGGCGGCAGACAGCCTCATCTTTCTGCAGCAGCGTAAAGGGTGGGTTTGAACTGTTGGCCTCATAGTTCTCAGCCCAATGCATTACTCACTAGGCCACCAGGGCTCCTTCCTGGTTAAAGAAAGACGGTCCTTTCATTAGGATGGGCACCTGTGAAGCTTTTATAAATGAGGCCATGGAGGAAGGTGTGAGGATACGGGGCGGGGCGTGATGAGAGGCTTGAACTGTCAATGCAGAATTGATGGTCTGACACGGACGCTGCCCACTTCAGCCACAATTCAAAATTCATTTCAAGAAAAACAAGGTGAGGATGCAGATGGGTGTTTGTTGGGTGACAGACGTGCACAGCACAAAGGTCAAAAGCGCTAAGCCTCACAAAGGCACTCCTCGGTGTGCACTCGGAGCTGTCTGCACGGCGCCCAGAGCAGTGCAGCCAGCACGGGTTGGGTTGCCTGTCTTTGGGGTGCAATGGGAGGTTGGTGCCCCCACCCACTTGCATTTTCGGGCAGGTTTTCTTTGTGACAATCCAAGAATTTGGAAACGGAACAAGAGGAACCACTGCGGGACGAGGAGGGGGAAAGGACGTCCTCGACTCGCCATCAGGTGAAAACAAATAAACAAATGAAGAGGAGGCAGCAAGGCAGCAGGCACGGCTTTATCCATGCTTTGTCTGTCAAATGCACGCGTGGGGGCGCGGAGGAAGAGCAGGGCATCTGGGCGGCCCACGCTTGCCGTCTGCACGGCTCGCTCTTGCCTTCCAAAGGACCCTGTCCTGTCTCCCGCCCCGGGCCCTGCTCCCTCTCCCTCACGTCATTCTCCCCCCATCCCACCCCCACCCGGAGCTCGCCTCCCCTCGGATGCTCTCCTGAATTCGACTCTCTGACTCAGTTCTTGTCTTTGGAACACCAGCTCCACCAGGGTGGGGATTCCTTTCTGCTCACTGCTGTACTCCTGGTCCCTAGACAGTGCCTGACGTATTGTACCCACAAAATCGCACCACAGACCATGGTGACGCAGCAAGAGGGCGGAGAACTGCTCCCCAGAGTTTCCAAGTCAATTGGTGTGGAGGCTGACGGAGCTGTCTGTCCCTCCAAGTTATTGGTGCGTTTGAACGGCTAAGTGCTTCAGGCACGGCACCACCAGCTCATTGTCAGCTCTGGCTAAATATGGGTGATGCCCAGTTCTGCCATGGATGGGCAAGGCCCACCCCTCCCTGCTGTGTGGTCGCTGTTAACTGGAGACCGCAGGGCCCTGAATGAATAACGAGTGTCGCCATCTTTGTTTGCATGGCCCAGGCACCCTGCTTGATGCCCATTCTTCCGTGACCTCCCAAAGCAGCCCTCCAAGATGGGCTTCGGTTGATTGCTGACAGCTGACTGAGGATCAGAGAGGTCAAGGGACTTGTCCGCATCACACAGCTGCGAAGTGGCAGAGCCAGGTCTGTATCTGTGTGCCTGGCCTTCACACGGGTGCCCATTGTGTCCATGTGGAAGGGCGTTGCAGGTCCCATGAAAAATAAAACCTCCATCTCGAGGGCTCTAACACGCGTGTCAGAGAAGGACTGGGCTCTGCGGGGTTTCGAATGGCTGGCAGTTTGGGTGGTAGATTGCCAGACCTTTCTTCCGAGGCACCTCTGATAAACCTCCGGCTGGTCAGCAGTCGAGCACATTAACAGATGGCTCCACCCGGGGCTCCTTCCAAGGCGTGAAGCTACGAGGAAAGGAGATGGCCCCGGGGAATGCGTTCTCTTCAGAGTGCCAGATCTTCTCTGCAGCCCTCTTGCCCCTGACCTTGTCACGCATCCTTCCCAAGTGTCCTGGGGTGCCTTGTTTTCCAGGGGGACAGTACCCTCTCGACAGCCTCAGCAGCAGGAATCATTGTTATGTCTGAGCGGATCGTGGCAGCTCCGATGCCAGTCCATCGCCTTGAGGGGCTCCCTCTCTGTTGGAGGACCCTCTTCTCTATCATGCAGGAGGTCTTTTCCCAGGGACTGGTCCCTCCTGCTAACCCAAGATGTCCAGATGTCATCTGGCCACCCTCAGTGCTAACGCCCCCTGGCTCCCTGCGGGGTGGGTTCTCCCTGCGTTGCAACTAGCAATCAGCTCAACTTTCCTTTATGCTAGGCTGTGTTCCTGGGTGACCCCCAGGGAGCTGGGAATACTTTTCTCCAAGAAGGAAGCAAAAAATCATTGGTTTGTTGATATGGGATTTCCCTTCACATAGAAATCAGACCACCCTCGGGCAGTTCTACTCTGTCTTACAGGGGCCTCTGCGTAGCACTGACTCATTCCCTGGCATACAACATCAACTCAACTGCTGAGCGCCAGGCTCCTGTCCCCTGCCCTGCCTTTCCCACATCTTCATGTCTTTTTGGTAAAGAGACCCATGGATGTTGGAAGTTGAGCATGATTAGGGCACTGGGGGAAAAGTTGGGGGGTGGGGAGGGGCACTGCTTGCTACCAGGGGAATTCTTGGTCCCCATCTCTTGCTTGCATCACGCATTAGCTCCTCTACAAATCCCGCCCGGGACTCACTCTTCGGTGCTGGCGAAAAACTGCATCTCCGTGGGCACGGTGTGCAGGCCGTTTCTCTGTGCAGCCTCTGGGAGGGAAGAGCAGGAAGGGTTTAGTGGGGTGAGCTCACACACGAAAAGCCCTCCCCACAAAGTACTGCGCTCCAGACGGCCCATGATGACTTTAAATCGAGGAGGAGCAAGCAGGGCGGTCCGGGAAACCAGGAGAATGGAAACCCATGAGAGCACGGATAAGCTGTGAAGAGTGGAGCCCAGGCCACGGAGCCGCTTGTGCAGAGATGGTTGGAGGGAAACCTGAACTGCTATGCGAGCCTTCCCCGAACACACTACGGAATGGTCTTGCCAACAGACCAAAGCAAACTTCGCAGGCTCCCCTCCGTGAGAAGGATCCCGTATGACTCATTGGATAGAACAAAGCTAAAAGCACATGCTGCCTGCCTGGCCTGTCCGTACGTGGAGATGGTTTCAGGTCTGTGGGCAGCGAGCTGACTACGAGGCCTCTCAGCCAAGCTCTGGGCTCACCTGGGAATGCCAGAGGATGCTCAGATCCGCGACGAGACGGGAGTGGTCATGGGGAAGCATCAGGAATAGTGTGCGAACTGCCTGTCCAATCAAAACACCAAACGCACCACCTTTGAGTTGATGCCAACTCGTGGTGACCTCAGAGGACAGGGTCGAACTGCCCCCGTGGATTTTCGAGACTGTCCATTTTTACAGGACTAAAAAGCCTCTTCTTTCTCCAGAGTAGTGGCTGGTGGTTCCGAACTGCTGATCTTGCGGCTAGCGACCCAACACATAAGCACTCTGCCACCAGAGCTCCTATCAGTCATTCAGAAAGGTATGTACTGAGCACCTACGATGTGAGCTCAGAGTCCACAGTGAACGGTAAAAACAAGGTCCCACGTCCCCTGAGATAACACGCTAGAAGGGGAGTCGATGATCAAACAGACAGAGCTCGGGCGGTACCGACTGTCACGTCCCCTTCCCGGGGGCGAGTACCACCCGACCCATTCTACATGCGTTCTCGTGTTCAGACCTTTCTGCTTTCTGGTCAGTTGAGCTTTCCCTCTGTTGTTGTTGTGAGTTTTTGCTTGTTCGCTTCTTGGTATTTTTGTAGGCATATGAAACACAGGCAGAGACAGGCGCAGGAGTAATGCTTCCTTGCAGGTGTGGCAGGGGAGG